ATCTCACTGGCGTTATCTGTTGGCGTCTGCATTGCACTGTTTACTTTACTTCAGCACTGTAATATATTTTGAAATCAGGATTGTGAATCCTACAATTTTGTGTCTTTACAAGAGTGTTTTGGCTACTTGGGGTCCTTTGAACTTCCACATGAATTAGAACGAACTTATGTTTTCTGGAAAAGGGCAGAAAATTTCAGTAGATATTTCATTAACTCTGTCTCTAGGGGAAGTGTGCCATCTTAATAATATTGTCTTCCAAACCATAGAAAGATACAACTTTTTCACTTATTCCTATTTTCTTGTTACTTTCAATAATATTTTGTGATTTTCAGAAAATATATAAGTCTTGCCTTTCTTTGGTTAAGTGTATTCCTAGCTATATTAACTTTTGAGATGCTATTGTAAATGGAATAGTTTAATTTTATTTTCAGATCATTCATGTCTTTTTTGTTGTTGTTGTTGTTATTATTGAGGTAGAATATCACTATGTAGTTCAGGCAGGCTTTAAACTCACTCTGTAACCCAGGCTGGCCTCAAACTCATGGTGATCTTCCTGCCTCAGCCTACCAAGTACTTGGATTACAGACTCAAACCTCCACACCCAGCTTCCACTCATAGTTTCTTTTGGACTTATAGCATAGATTAAAGAATTATATTTTGTGGTACATGCCTATATATGAGAGAGATCCTCTGTATTTATAAAATGAGGGGAAGGTGAATTGATTGCTGAAGGTGTTCCCTGAATGCCTTCATGTTCAAAATGCCTCTCTTCTCAGTTATGTGAGTGTGGTGCTGAGGGCAGAATCCAGGGATGGTGTACTGCCGAGTTACATCCCCATTACTCCTCTTCTTGTTTTATTTTGTTTTGTTTTGAGACAGGATCTCACTCACCTGCCAGGCTGATAGATCTAACTTGTCCTCTTTCCTCAGTCTTCCGAGTTGCTGGGATTGCTGATGTACATTCCTACATCCATCTGCTGAGTCCTTTTTCAGATCAAAATTGTCAATGGCTGTGTCTTTCCTCTCAGTATTGTTCTCTTTGCCCATAATGAGCCATTTTCTCAACCAATACTCTGCTGTAGGAATTTCCTTCAAACAAACGTTCTGTATTTTGTGCACTGTCTTTTGACCTTAGTTTCACTTTTCCTCTCAACTAAATCAAATACTTTTAGACATTAAGCATCTTTGCTCAAAAAGCAAAAGGTTGCTGTGGCCTATAATCCAGCCCTTTGGGAGGCTGAGGCAGGAGGATGGCAAGTTTGAGCCTACACTGAGCAAGTTAATGATTTAGCAAGATTCTGTATTGAAAGAAAGCAAGGAAGGACAGGAAGAAGGGAGGCCATGAGGAAGAGAGGTTGGGAGAAAGGGGCAAGCCAGCCAAGAGAAAGGACTGGGGAAAGAGCTCAGTGGAAGGCCATAGATCCAATGCCCAATACTTGTGTCAGCAGGAGTTTTGTGACACATTAGCATCTGACATCTCAACAGAAACTGTATATGACACACCAGCCAGTTACATCTGCTATTTTGTTGTGCCAGTTTTTCTCTTTTGCAATGCTGTGGACCCAGGACCACACATTAGGCAAGCAAGTACTCAACCACCGAGCTATAGCTCTGCCTCAGATCTTCTTTCCTTCCTTCTGGTGCTTTCTCCACCTCAGCTACATGCTGGGTATATGACAAGCACTCCTTCTGCATGTGTCACAAAGCTGCATCTACTTGCAGGTATTTTCCTGTTTAGAGAGCCTTTTCTTTCCTTTTATATTTTTACAGGCACTGTTATTTCATCGAAAACATGAGTTGCAGTATTTAATCTAATGACATACATTTACTTCAGTAACACGATACTTAACTCTAGCTGTCTGTTTTGGTGTTTTTTTGGTAAATAACTTCATCTTAGGTCCCACCATAATGTTTTTTTAGGCACTTTAAGAAGTATTTACTCGGCACTGGTAGCTCCGGTGCTGTACAAACCCTGATTGAAATGACACACACGAGTACCTGGCACATAGAGCGTGCAGAAACGGCTGCACCACGAGCCCTTCAGTCAGTCAGGACACGCGTTCTTTCAAGTGGTTTCAAAGTTTACTGCAGGAAGTGTGTACTGCTCCTTTGCGCTGACGCTGATCACCATAGAGGACATGGTCCTTACACAACAGCTGACTGTAAAACTTTATTTAGAGGTTTTTGATTGACAGTAGGGAATCTTCAGATTTTCCTAAAAACTAGGTGCACACTCACTGCCTCGCCTGTGCCCCAAAGCCTTGCCCTCTGCTGTGCTTCCAGGTGTCGGGCTGAGGCTTTCACCACCAGGGCTGAACACAACTGAGTCATTCTTGGCTCCTCCCATCTAACATTAGCTATCAAAGAGCACAACCCATTTGTCTCTAGAGATTTCTATTTCTTTTCTTCATTTTATCTCTAACCTGGTTCAGACACCTGCCACAGATTGCTTTGTTGTTCCACTATTCGTTTTTTTTCTAAATCATGTTTTGTAGAACCTACAAATAAAAAAAAAAAAAAAAAAAAAACTAAACTAAACTAGCAATTCCCATATGTAAAAGACTTTAGTGCTTCTCTTCTGTACAAAGTATGACCAAGAATACAGTCTCTGAATTTGGAGAATTTCATTTCAATCATTAATGAATTGTGGTGGTTTTCTTCCCCATTTATCCTCCTGTCCTAGACTGGAGACACTCACGGGTCTTAGTTAAGAGAGTATGAAGAATTAACTGAGGTGATTCTTATAAAGCCTTAACATGGGGGCTGACTATAGTTCATTATTACTAAACACTAACTGCTGTTATCCAAGACGATGTTGGGAATAATTATTAGCATTTGCATCACAGGAAGAACCTTTTCTGGGCTGTGGGCAGTTCTTCTGCTTTTTGCTTTTGCAGTACTGGGAATTGTGCTCAGAATCTTTATATTGGGCTATATTCCTATTCCTTTTCTAATTTTTATTTTGAGACTGGGTCTCACTAGTTCATTCACTGTCTCAAACCTGAGATCCTCCTGTCTCAGCCACCCTGAGTGCTGGGATTATAGGAGTGAACCACTATGCCCAGCTTATATTGGATAGTTGCAAAATGAAGATAAGTTTGAAATTTTAAGATACCATGGTTAGCCTTTTTGTTTACTAGACTAAATAATATTAGGCAGGAAGATCATGAGTTCAGGGTCAGCCTGGGCTACATAGCAAAACTCTAAGAAAAAAAGATATTATTACTCTGGTTTCACTACTCAGTTTATATGTTTTTATTTGCAAATGTCTGAGAAAATTTGGGCTTCTTCACTTCCATGCAGGAGCAAATACAAAAGGCTTTGGCCAAAACTGGTGGTCTGTTTCCCTTTGGGCAAGAATTTAAAACACTGAATTTCAGTCAAAAGTTAATGCTTTATAAGGCAAATTTGCTGGGCAAGTTTTCCTGTTACTTAATAGGAACGTTTAACTGAAGACTGACTGGATAGGTTTCATCATCTGTCTGGTGTGCTGTTCTGTATTATATGCTGAAACACACACACACACTGTATGGTGTAAATTACTGTCTGTGAAAGGGAAACACAAATTGTAATTGCAAATTATCTCTTTTGTTTCTCAAAGGTTACAGACACAATGTCCTTAATTATACAGTAGTGTCAGAAAGCTTTAAAATGTACAACAGACATTAAGGCTTTATGGGAACAGTATTTTGAGAAAAGTATTTTAGGGAGACGAAAAATTTCAGACATAGTTATGGTTGCACAATAATATGAATGTAATTAATGGCACTGGATTGTACATGTGAAATTGTTGAAATACTAAATTACATGAGATATGTATGTATGTATGTAAATCACTTTTAAAGGGTCAATAATGAACTACAGATTTGGGAAGACTATCCAAATTGATTGCTGCTGTTTAGCAACAGAGCTAATTTTGGCCTGAAAGAAGTGTTTAGGCTTACACATGAAGGAGGTACTTACAATATTACATCTTTTATTCCAGTGCTGCCTATGATATTTCAAATGAGTGTAATAATTACACATCCATATCTTTTCCTACCACTGTTCTATTTCCTGAATTCTGTTGTTAGCATAGCCAGTCATCCTTTTGTATATGTTGCCATTTTACAAAGGAAAGCGCAGAGCTGATGCCTTGACCAAGGTCACACAGCTATAGTGGACATAGGTCTACCCTGAGTCCTACCACGATTCCTATGAATCATCCTTCATTTTTATTTAATGAGCATCAACTATTTGCTAGGCCCTGGGAATATAATAATAAACATACAAAGTCCGAGTCCATTCTCAAAGAGTTTATAATCTAATAAAAGATACACAGTCCCTGCAGTTACCACACCGGTGATCTGACCATGTGGTGGGGTAAATATAATAGACTGTAAGAACCCTTCTGTGGGACTATTTGAAGTTATACATAGTATTCCAAAACATTTAATGTCTAGTTGAGTTTATAGTTCTATAACTGCATGAGTAAAGCCTGAGTTTTTACCAACTGGAAACTTGCTAATTATAAATGTTTAATTTTATAGTCAAAAGCCAGCCACTTAAAGATAGTACATATATGGTTTGGGTTGAAATTTAGCTCTGGAAAGACCTTGTTTTACCTCAACAGCCTTTGTACCTATCCTTCTATTGAAGTCCAGCACTTACAAGTTCCTGGTGCATAAAAGATACTGAATAAATCAATACATGAGTAAAGTCCCCTAAAATTAAGCCCTTCCCAACTTAATAGTTGGGAAGTTCAGTCTGACCAGATCAGTCTGTTCCTAAACCATCACATAACCTACATATGGATTCCCTGTGTTTCTCTGACCTGACTGCTGTTGCTGTTACAGTACTTAGCTTGGACTTTATACTTTACCAACCAATGAACATGAACATATTCTCAAAAAAAGGTACACTTAATTTTGCTCTGCACCATTTTGTCTTTAAACTTTGACATCTATAAGTCTAATGTAAGCTAAACTAATGGCCATTAATTCTTTTATCCTTATTTTCAGGTAAAGAAGATACCCCTTCGTTACTTGGTCTCTGTGGGTCACTAACATCAGTGGCAAGCTACAAATCTCTAACAAGCCTAAAATCAAATGACTATCTTCCAAGTCCAACAACAGAGATAACAAGTCCAGGCCTAACTCCATCCTGAAAAACTGGAAAAGCCAGAAGTTTCAATAGTGGAAATGTTTAATTTATTTAAGTTTGACTGCAGGGGAGATATTTCAAATTTTACACAGCATTGTTCTGGTACATGTGTGGAATCCTATTGCTTAGGGAATTCAGTACTCGATGTAAACTTATAAGGAAAGAACATAGTAGTCCTGCCATTTGTCACTTTAAAAAACTTGTATTTCTCATTGAGGTTTTAAATTGTATAGGCTTTTAAAACTTTCAGAGATTCTCCAAATTAAAAGTTCACTGCAAATTGTACAATATTATTCAACTGATTTTTTTTGATATGTTTATTCCAGAAACTTAAGCTACTGCTTTTTCCTTCTTTGATGATTTGATATTCCTAAAGAAGGCAACTACTTAATTTTACTTTTATTTATTTCCTAAATTCTAATGTTCAGATGCTGTACTTCCATATCAGGAAAGGTTCTGAGTTGTGATTCCACAGTGGCACTTTGCTTTCCTTAAACCCACGGCCTTGTGCATGCAAGGCAAGCACCCGACCACTGAGCTCGGCTTCCAGAAGCTCAGTAGTTCTTTAGCTCTTATTACTTCGTACCAACATTCCACTTAACATTTTATAAATTTTGTAGGAATGTGCCTTTTTAGGCAGTTACTTATTTGTAAGGTGATAGGGAAAGTATTTTATATATGTGTCTTTGTTTTCTCAAGATTTTCTTTAATCAATTTTAAAATGATTAGCAATGCCTGAAAAGTTAGCAACATTTCCAAATAGAGAATAATGAACGTTGAAAGGGGGTTATATCAGAAAGATTTCAAGTTCAGTGAAGAATTGGTGAAGCTGTTGAACAAAATGTCTAGGGAACAACTATACCTAACAACAAACATCTGATCAACAGTGCTGACTTTTCTCCCTTGTGTGCAACAGTGAATCATGACGTGTGTTTTACAGCCTCTATCACTATGCCATGAAGTCATTTAAAAACTGATGTTAATGTTTAAAAATCCCTACATTTCTTCAGGTAGTTTTTTTTTTTTTATAATCCATATCGTAAATCTTTTTGCAATTTTTGAAACTTACATTTGTCCCTAAAAATTCCACCATATTGAAAATGAAAATAAATGAAGTATATTTTCTATAGTAGTATGAAGAAAATATGGTTAGTTGTGCCAAAGAAATTTTATATGTTATTTATATGATGAGGCCACAATACTTACTGGGAACTTCATATGGTATTTTTGTTTATTAATAAAACACTGCATTCAAATATAGTGGCTTTGACATACATGAAGAATGTTCCTTCTAAAACAGTTTTTTGTAAGAGCTGAATTTAGCACATTCATTCTTTGTTTTAGAAATGTAGGTGTGATGATTCTCTCCAGTAGAGATTAGTCTCATAACCCAGAATATAAAATTGGAAGGACAGTCTTACACGAGACAGTCCAATGTCATTTAGTGACAAAGGAGGACTGACAGCCCTTATCTTAGCTATGCCACAGCATTCTCAGAACTTTTAAAGGCTTTAACACTTGTACAAATGTAATATTCCTGAGAAATGGCACCTTTAATTTTAATATATTCTCAGTTCTGTATACCATATTAAGAATGAGGTACCCAAAGCAGTTTTTAATCGCTGTGAGAGGTGGAAGGAAGCTATCAAATGAAGATGGTAGAAACCCTGGGAGGATGGAATGAGAAAATGGATAAAGAAGGGAACTTGGGGAATTTTAGGCTGGCCTTGAGCACGACTGCTGCTTTACCAAAATCTCTGAGGACATTAAAATGATTTATCACCCGTGATCGTTACTCAGCTGATATTCCCTTCAGTAACTAAACAAAACTGTCACGTTTCCATACATTTTTATGATGTATAAGGAAATTCAAGATTACTACCCCGTAGTTTTTCAAATTTATCTAATGGAAACAGTACCTTGTGCTTCTTAATGTGCTGCTAAGCGCAGTTAAACATGACATCTCAAGATCAGGACTTTGTCTCCTTTCTTGGAGATCCCACTATAAAATACAGCTGCTGTTGTGAACTTCAGATTTCTACACAGTTCATTTCACACTAGTTTTAAGTAGTTCGTAAATGTTTGCATGAAGAAACAATGTATGTCTCAATCTTTAATTTTAGGTGGTAGTTTTTATGTTTACAACCCCTCAAAAGAATGCTGAAAATGTCGGTATTTCCATGTGTACTTTGTTGCCTTGATGTACTATACTTGTTGCATGTATATTAAAGATTTTGTACCAAGTAATGGTCTTTTTTCTTTGACCAAAAGTTACCTGATTGAAACTGTACAATGAACTTTCATTTTAACTCATGTGGTAAATGTTCACATCTAAGAAAGTAACAGAAAGCTTTAGATAAATCCTTATTTCAACTTGAATGTTCTTTATTTTTACAAATACATTAATGTACTACACAACATTCCAGTCAAGGACAGCCAGTATGACAGTGGTCTCATCAAATTGGTCTTAGCACTTTTCATTATTCTCCTCTCTCCTTACACAAAAATTGACTTCAAATGAAACAAGAGGAACATACTAGGTTATTGATTATCAAAGCAAAGTAAGATTGGATTTCTTAGTGTTGATGTTGAAGTAAACAGTGATCAGATCAGAAAACACTCGCCAATGGTCAAATAGAAGACACTGCTAAAAGTACTGCTGCTTAAAAAAACCCAATGTTACACATAATCAAAGGATGAACTAGCTACCTATACCTATATCTAAACAGAAGCCACTATTTAGAAAACTGTTTTCCTGATGGTGCTAAGTTGAATGCTCCATCTCTCTCCCTTTTGCCACTCTTCTTGCTCATAAGAGGGTTTAAAAACCATTTGACTATCATTACCTATAGTTTCCCTCCCGTTGGACATGATCTCCTAGGAATAAGCCTTCTGCCTTAGCTACTGTTCTCTTTGTTGAGAAAAAATGCTCCACATCCAAAGTGAAGGGAAGAAAGGTCTTGTTAGCTCATAGTTTGTAGATGTCAATAATAATTGGCTGACTTCAAGGCAGGGTGGTGCATGGCTGGAGGCAACATGGTGGAAGACAGCAAAAGCAACTAGGGAGAAGAGACAAGCCTTCTGTCCCTTACATTGTATGCAGGCTGCCCGCCTATGGCAGGTATAGCACTCACGCCCACCATCCCAGCTTTGGACCATTAATCACAAACTGAATTCAGCTACCTCTGAAAAGCCTGCCCCATGCATTCATGAGGGTTTCGAAGGGAACATCTAGACACAAACTATAACACCTTCCTAGCAACTTGCAGGCACTCTCAATTGAGAAGGGCTAAATGTAAAAAAAATAAAAAATAAAAATAAAAAAATATGTAACCATTCACCAGCAATACTTTGTATGAAAAGATCTCAATGAAAAGGGGACATTGGGGCTAGGGAGATGGCTCAGTGGAATAAGCGCTTCCCTGGCAAGCGCAAGGGCCTGAGTTCAACCCCTGGTTTTGCCAAAAAAAAGGGGGGTGATTTTTTAAAAAGTGTTGAACTATTCTAATTTTAATACATGCGATAGTAAAGAAAAGATTCATATGGGAATTTCTGTTGTTTCTTCATGAGAATGTTTTGTATTCTGAACAACTTTGAAGACAGTGATAATGTATTAACTATTCTCTTTTTTGTTACAGAATTTTATTTTTTCATAAAATTCTTGAAAGGCTTGTAGGCAACGCTCTTCCCCACAAAGATAAAATTTTCATATTCCTGCATTATGATTGAACTTTGACAAATTCTGGCTGACCATTAGAGCCACCATGCTCCATTTATTTTGGACTGTTAACCCCAACCAGTATAAAAGCAACAATTAGTTCTCCTTGAAGACTTCCCTCCTATCTCAAACTCTATCTACTTTGCTTCATACCACCTTTTTTATCTATTGCCAAGAAGTTCAATTTGTGCTTCCCTAAACCTTTATGAAAGTACTCCTTGCTCCAGGCCTAGTGAACATTTTTCCAAACTGCCTCAACCCTTGTTGCTGGTGACTACAGAAACTTGCCTGGGTATCTGGCCCTTTCTTCTGGCTAGCATCCTTAATAGCTCAATAACCCCTTTTATTTCAGACCCCCTGGTTTACATTCCCCAGTGCTTTATTAACATGTTTGTGGTGATGCTGATAAAACAAACCTACTGCAACCTCAGTCCTATAAAACTATGGCACAAATTATACACTATTAATATTTAATAAACTACTGCTGATTTTTTTTTGGCCATACCATATTTATTATTTTAGGGTGTATTTCTATCTACCAACATTTTACCAAAAACTACCTATTAGGCCAGCAGCAGGTTCACACGTTGCATTTCCTCTGTCTCTTGCCTGACGTTCTTTCTCACTCTTGCTTGACTGCTCTGGCTAGGACTTCCAGAATTACGCTCAAATGGTACCGTTAGCATTCTTGTCTTTTTCTACATCTTAGAACACTTTCAGCTTCTCGTAGGAAAGTTTTTAAAAGAAAATGAGCAAGGTACTTCAAAACCCTAATCCTTGGCCTCAAGGATGACAGTCTGAGGTTGAGGATACAGTTGCTGGGCAGGTGTCCTTGCAGAAGTATTTTTTGTGTGAAACATTGTGATTCTGAATTTTTTTTTACATTATTTTTTAAAGAATACAAAATAATGACAGAAGAAAAAATATCAGAAACAATACAAGATTTCACTGAACAAAGCAATAGGAATTCAACAGGGGTTCCTGCATTACATGAAGCTCTCTTTAAATTAAGTGTTCAGATTATCAGAAGTTTTCGTGACAGTTACTAGTCAATAGTGTATGCAAACCATTCTTATAACCTCAGCTTTCTTTTGTCAAGCTCATTTTGATTGACAATTTTCACACGTTCTAAAGAGGTGACAAATGCAAGCTAGTGCTAATTATAGATATAAAAAAGCAAGAAAACCAAGTCAGTTTTTATTTGAATCATTTTTATTGTATGTTTTGAATTATATTTAGTATTTCAGGGAAGGGTCTACAGGGTGTTCAGGATCTCACTACTATATTGGACTCGTCACCTGTTTACAGCCTCCCAAGAGCTGGGATTACAGGACACCACGCCCAGTCTCAATTACTGTCTCAGCAGGCCCCTGGGGTGGGGCCCACGTGGCAGGCCCAGGGATTTGAGCCTCTCGCCCCTGAGCCTGCTTGCAGGTGCTTTAATCTGCCGAGCTATTTGGCTGGCCTACGTTTTGAATTATAAATTATCTTAAAATTTATGCTTTGTGAGAAGCCTTTGTTAGTTTCTATTGATAGATAAAATGTCCATATTTGGCTAACTGAACATACCACATTACTCAAGTGTCAGCAGCCTCCTGTGAACCTCAGGGCTCTCAAAAAGAAAAAGGTTTGCTTTCTTTTTCTGACCAAGCCAACATACCCTTAGCCTTAGCATCTTTTTAAGCTAATACAAGGGACAAGAAGACACTGTATCTTAGTGATTACGGCACAGTCATTACAAGGCTGATTGGACAGCTCAGTGAAGTCAAGCGCCTGCTTAGGCAGACATAGGGTCAGAGGTTCAATCCCTGGTGGTGCCACGCCGTCCCTGCCCAGGGGTACAGAGATGGCAACTGAGACCGGGCTTAGGGTGCACACCTGTAATCCGTGCTTACAAGGATGAAAACCAGGAAGGATCATTACAAGCTCCATCTGTATAGTGGGACCCTAGAGACGCTGTACGAAACATACAAAATTAAAAAGTACATTATAATATAAACCAAATGTTTACATTGTTTTTAAAAGGTTGTTTCCTAAGCCCCATTTTCCATACTATTAGCTTTTCAAAATCCCAGACTGACAGACAGCTTAATGAAAACAATCCTTGAGTTCCTACGGCTTTGTTCCCCCTTAGACATACAAGATCTCTCACCACATTCCCAGGCTGAGCCTCTCACCATTCCCATGTATATTTGTTCAAGCCACAGAGAAAAATTCCACTTTCCACCATGTTTAACTAGATTTCCTGTCAGTCCTCACCATAAATATACTGACAGCTCTTTCTCTGCCTCCATGAGGAAGTGCTCCTCAGAGCTCCCATAATTCCTTTTGCCTATTTCTATCAGTTATGAAACTTCCAGCGACCAGTGGTAAGACCCAAAATACCTTCTTCAGTATGCTGGATTCTGCCTGCCACAGAAGAGATCTCAAAAAATGATAATATACTAACAAATAAGAATAACCTTTTATTTAAAATGTTAATTTTGGAAAACAGTTCAAAAGTAACACACTAAACTAAATTTACCCATATTCCTAACATTTGTATACAGAAAAAATAATGTAAAACTCATATGCAGTTAAGTAAATGTTTTCCTTAAAAAATACTAATTTTAACTTCACACCAACTTTTTAAAAGATATGTGTATTAAAGCTTCCCTCAGTATTTGAATGTTCACGATGTTTCTTTAAATTTTTATATTTAAGTAATTAAATACATTATAAAATTTAATGTTACAGAACAGTTTTCTTTAGAAACATCACAGTACTTTTAAGTTTCCTTTCTTCTCATGTTTGTGATACATGATAACCACATGTGCCTTGGGGGACTGGGGTGAATCCACAGATGACATCTAAGTCACCTGCACTTCCCCTCTGCCCCCTGCCCATTCCCACAGTGCACTTGCCTGTTTCTGAACCTCTATTTTAGAATGCTGTGTAGACTATGATGTGCAAATACTACACTCCTATTTACATATGAACTACAGCCTGAGAATGGCTCAGAGGTCCTGATGTGACGTGAAGCTCAGGCTATGCACTACTGCCAATATTGCACTGTAAAACAGAACTTTGGGACAGGATTGAAAAATTAATTATCCTAGCTATCTCATGGACTAAGTTTAGTATTCTTTTGACAACAAAACACAATTACTCCTAAGGCAAAATGCTAAAATAATTTCTACCAAGGCATTTCTGTTGCTAATGTATTCATAAAGTATAAATGCTTCTTTACCACTTATGTACACAGTAAGTCCCCGACTTACAAATGAGTTCCGTTATGAGAGAATGTTCATAAGTTGGAGTCCTTCAAAATCTAACAAAGTGAGTCTATAGAGGACACCTATGAAAGTTCACAATTCAAATGTTTATAAGTCAGGGATTTACAGTACAGAAAACTTCAATTTAGCTTTCCATTCATTCAGGTACATTATTTGTATTAATGTGATAGAAAAACCACTAATGAATGAGATTTATTTAACATATTTGTAATTAAGAATTTTCTTCTAGTGTAGTACTGGGGTTTGACATTCCTATGTGACATTTAAAGTATGTGATTTATTATTGAGAGCACAATACTATTTGAGAGCCCAATACTATGTTTTTCTTTTAACCTTAGCAAATTGTTGAAAAGGATAGCAAGACAAAGGTTAAGTTTACTGTCACACAGCAGTACTAATAAGCTTCTAATTATATAAAGTATGGTATATAATTTTATTGAAAACTAATTACAAGCACAGTGATAATTTTAAGCATAAAATATTTTAATAAAAATATAAGGAAATCATGAACATTTAAATTTATATGATATACATACAGAAATTTAAGGTAAGTCAACAGGATAAAATAAAAATAAAAGTTACACAGAAATTCTATATACTTATTTCTCATGAAACATATAAATACCTATCTACTACAATACAAAAATGCATTAATTCCTCTACCAACACTAGAGAAGATGTGTCGCCAAAATACATCACTATATTTTAGTGGGGGGAAATGCTTCATATTTTCATATAACATAAATTGAATGCAGTAAAGTTCTTTCTCATGTAAGACAGATCCTATAACAAATCAAGAAAAAACATTAAAAAAGAGTAGCATATCTTATCCTGTTTTGGGGGAGGAAGATCAGAAATAGGGATCGATCCCAGGGCTCATGCCAAGCAAACACCATGACCTCGATGCCCAGGCCATTCAGATCTTATAAAAATCTCATTCATACAAATTGTGTCAAGCTAAATTCTTTAATCATATATAATTCCTGGAAGAAAACAGCTTCTTGTTTACTCTCTTGACCTGTTATACTGTGAGATACTTTAAATCAAGACATTGTGAAAATATTTTGTGACTTTTATCACAGTATAGATTCAGTATTCCCTATTCAAAATGCTTAGGTAAAAACATGCTTTAATTTCTCCCCCTTTCCCCCCAGATTTTAGAATATTTGTGTGTGTGTGTGTGTGTGTGTGTGTGTGATATCTATCTATCTATCTATCTATCTATCTATCTATCTATCTATCTATCTTAGGGAAGGAATGCAAGTCTAAATACAAAGTTCGTCAATACTGTACAAACTTCTTATATACATGGCCTGAAAGGAATTTTATTTAGTGTTTAGTGTAGGAAATTTAGTGTGCCTGCAACCCTTATCATGTGAGGTCAGGTGAAGAATTTTCTACTTGTGGTGTCAATGCTCAAAGAGCTTCAGGGGCCAGCCCCTTAGCTCAGTTCTTTAAGTGGCTGCTTCAACAAAGCAGTCAGGCTCAGGTTGCTGTGGTTCGATCCCCACAACTCAAGCCAGCCAATCCTGCCCTGAAGGCATTCAAAGCCCCCCTCCCCCCCAAAAAAATCCCTCAAAGAGCTTCAGGTTTTGGAGCATTTCAGATTTTACATTTCTAGAATAGAGAAGCTCAAACGGTAATAATCTCTATATATTTAGAAAAAATTCAACAGAAATGACCAAGTTGGCTAACATCCAGGGGCTGTTCCTGTGCCAAATAACTTACTTTTTCATTGTAATTGCAATGTGGAGTCCACAGCTGATCCATGTCTGAGTGAACATTTACTACAATCAGTAAAACCTCCTTTTTAAACAGGAACTGTAAATATAGGGTTTTCATTCACCAAACATGTTAAGATCCATATCACATGAATAATTACATTTCATATCATACAAATAACTGCAGTACACGAGTCTTAAATCAGTAGTGTGGGAGGAAAAACTAAGGCATGTAAATTAAAAGAAATTATGAGGTGATATTAGACAAATGTGACAAGTGACCAACTTCTATTATCTCCTTTCCTGAAGTATCTGTGTACATGATTTAAATGTACATAAACCTTGACCATTTTTCTTCCAGACATTATCAAGTAAAATTCAAAAGATTCTTTTTTATCTGACAGACTAAGTTACACTGAAATCAAACTCAGAGTGCTTTTTATGCTAAGCAGTAATATTTCTTTACTGACAAAATAAAATGGTGATGATTCTGGCATTTTTTTTTCAATCTCCAAAAAATAAATTTTTTATTTTAAAACTAAGATTATGATTTTGAGGTAGAATAGAAATTACTATTCATTTAAATTATAGGAAAGAAAGAAAATAATTATAACAGAGTAAGATTTAAACAGCTCCTTTGCCCAAGAGTCTCATCTTATTTGGCTGTGATCCTTCTAGGCTGAACCTTTATCCCTAGAACTGCTGCCTTTGAACATTTTGCCTCTGGAAAAAAGCCTTTCCAAATTCATAGGTACTGATCATAATGGCACAAGCAGGAGCAATTTTAATTAAGCGAGGAATCAAACCTAAAAAGAAAATGGGAAAAAAGAACAAATTTTACCTTGTTTTTTTAAAAAAGATAACTTACCTGGCTCCATTCTTACAATGAACAAACTGCATAAAATGACAGATAAAATCCTGTATGAGTGGATAACAAAGAGGCCAAACTATACACTTCCAACTTTCTGAGTTCCACCTGGAAATTTTATCTTATTGTGAGTAGGTCTACAGTTAAAAGCATTTCTTTTGCTTTTCTTTACTTTGTGTTTCTGTTTTGTTTTTTTTTTTTGAGGCGGGGTCTCAGCAGTCATGTAGTACAGGTAGGCCCTAAACAGACAGCATCCTCCTGCCTCAGCTTCCAGTGACTGGTATTACAGGCATGTGCCACCACACTTAACTAGCATTTCTTTTAGCTCTTTCCTTACAGCAAAGATATTTACTTTAACAAAGATATTTTACTTATAGCAAAGACATTTAAAGTGTTACCTGTAACTTTCTCCTGACAATTAATTTTACAAAGTGAAAGATTTAAAACTAATAATTCTATTCAATGATCAGTAAAGCAGATGTTTTTACCTGCAAATAATCCAGAAAATCCATTTTTAGCAATAATATTCTTCATTATAACCCAGGTTGACATATCTAAAGGCATAGAAACTAAAAATAAAACAAAAGCTATCAAAAAAAAATCATAATTTCATTATTTCTAATACAGATAATATATATAGAATGGTATTCATTACTTTGGGAGTGTATGATTTCATTATACTAAAAACAGACCTGTTCACCTAAAGAGAGATTTTCATAAACACATTTACAGAAAAGATTTCAAGTTAAAATGTGTTCACAACTGGATACAGAAAGGGACCGATAGGGCTTAGGCAGCTAGAATGCTCAGACCAAAAGCAGGGAAAAGGGAGAATTCTGATATAACAAAACTCCAGGTTTTCATTAGTATCTAGTATTAAAAGAAACTAAATTTTTGGTAGGTCAAACAAACAACGTTATCACCAGTATCAACAAGATTCATTTGTAGAGTCTACAGTCAATGTTTCTTTTAACATTATAATATTAATCATACATTTTATGCAAAATATTATTTTATAGATTTGTGATAATTTATTTGCATTACAACAGGCTACCATAAGATTTATATAATATATACTGAATGGATAATTTCTTCTGGGTTTTATATATTTTCTAAATAGAATACATGACAGAGTAGAACTCATAGAAGCAAATTTAAGCATCACTTTTGTTCTAAGAGAAAGTACAGGCAGGCTATAGAAAAAAAAAGGAAAAGATAAAATAGGAAAAACACATACTAAATGAAACAAAGGTAAAACCGAGCAAAATATTTACACATGCTCACAAAAAGCACAAACGAGAAGAAAAAGATTGCCAGTCATTGCCTATCCTTTACACTAACTTGTCTACACTTATTTTTACTGGCTTATATAAAAATCATACTAGAAAAATAATAATACATTTAAAGGAGACTAAAGACAAACTATGTATCATTCTCTTTAAAAAAGGTAAGAGATCTAACTCATGACAGTCCAAATACAGAATTTAAAATTGCTTAAATTTGGGGGGAGGGTACATAGTATTTTTTCTGGGTATTTCACTGTAACAGTACACACTTTTTAAAATTAAAGAATAAGGTATAATGCAAACAATCTTGTTTACCTTATTTTTAGATATACCTAAAAGTATCTAGACAGGAAAACAAACAAACAAACAAAAAAATGGCACCTTAAAAATGTCTAAACTTACTTTTATGACTTTCATATGTCCAAAGTTGTGTCTGCTTTTGGGTTTTTACCACATCAAATGGCAAAGTTACAACAGCTGCAAACTATCAGAAAGTAAAATTAATTCAAATTTACCTTTTAATTCTTCCCAAAACGTCTTTAACTCCCCTATTAGCATATTACTTAACAAAGATAATGATGAAAATCAAAGCTAAAAAACTGAGATTAAAACAAAACCAAAGAGAAGTCTTTCTTAAAATATTCCTCAAAAAAAATCAGATGCAAATAGTCCCAGAGACCTTTTCCTTTTCTGAGCAGAGCCAGCATTCACTCAAACCTCTGACTGCAAGACCAATACTCTGGTTTCTGATGCTCCTCTATGTTCTGTTGCTCCTGTATTTCACACACATGAATGTATGACATATATTTTACATCAGAAATTCTCTACTTTCTAATTAGAATCTGAAAATTTCCAGCAAATGTTTTCAAAATAATTTAAAATATTAAATTCTTTTTTTTTGGGGGGGGGGGCTGGCTCAGAATGCCTTCAGGGCATGTTTGGCTGGCTGGAGCTGTGGGGATTGAACCACAGCAACCTGAGGATGAATGCTTTGTTGAAGCAGCCACTTAAACAACTGAGCTAAGGGGCAGACCCCAAAATATTAAATTTTAGTACATGAGAAAATGAATTGGTTTACCTACTTTTTCTTAATGATAATCAATATATTTATCAACTATAGTTACATTGGTTCACATAATAAACGTTTCTCAAAATTACTCAATTTAATAATTACTTCTATGATGCCTTATGTAAAAAACTTTTTTTTTTTTTAATGGTACTCAGGACTGAACACAGGGTCTTCACACTGAGTTGCATTCTCAGCCCTATTTAATTATAAAAATAATAATAACAATTTGGAGGCAAGGTCTCTCACTAAGTTACCCAAGCTTTGCTCGAACTTTCAGTCCTGCTGCCTCAGCCTCCCAGCATGCTGGGATTACAATTATGTGCCACGATGTCCAGAATTTTCTGTTTTTAACAAAAACTAAATTAAATTCTTTTAAGTATGGTCTCACAGCTGGACATGAAGCAGGAGGATCGCTGCAAGTTTGAGGTCAGCCAGAGCTACAAAGTAAGTTGAAGAAAAGAAGAAGAATGTCCTCACAGTACAACAGCCATGTAAAACCTGGTATCTACCTTTTGCTTCTGAATTCACATTTGGGCCACTATGGTCATAAAATGCATCTTAAAATTACTTACATTTTATTTTTACCTCAATAATCTGATGATTAAGAGTTTTGAAATCAGTTTCAAAGATTACAAGTAAGATAAAATCAGTTACTGTTTCTCCATCTCCAGATGCTGCTGGATAGTGGCAACAATGTCATATACACCTTTCTGATACTTTTTAAATGATGTCCTTCACACTGTTGTTTTTGAACAGAAAGCCAGAACCCTGTCATATTCAAGTTTTTTCTGTTGCAGAGATAAATCTTTACTTCAAAACTGTAAAAATCCAGCTTTCTTCTCTAAATCATTTAAATTTTTTTTTTCTATGTTAAGGAGAAAAAGTAAAATAGAGAACCTCCCTTATTTTACTATAAACCTGGTAAAACATTTTTTTCTTTATTACCACTATTATTTTTTTGAGACCAGGTTGTACTATGTAGTTCATACTGGCTTTGAACTCACTATGTAGCCTAGGCTGGTCTCCAATTTGTGGCAATCCTCCTGCCTAAGCCTCCCAAATGCTGGAATTACAGGTGTGCACTACGGTGCTCAGCTGGTACAACATTTTAACTTCTTTAACGACTGAAATAACTTATAATCCATGGGACTTAACAATCTTGGACCTACTGACTTTCACACCTCAGTGTTGAACTCAATAGCAGTGACTCCCATAGTCTAGGTTTTACACTATGTTTTTAAATAGCTGTCTGCAGGTGTTTATCACCTGGCATCTATTTTTCTATGATTCTGAAATGTCAATGTCATGCTGTACATTCTTACAAGCTAATCTTGCATATTTTTGCATATAAAAGAACTCTCTATGGCCAAGGGCATGGTGATGGGAGTCTACTCAGAAAAGCTCTATTGTGTATTACTTTCTCTTCTGTGGACCAACTAGAAAATGTCAAAATGTCAACTCTATAACTTTTGTAATTGTTTGTTTAGTGCAGGGTCTTGCTTCGCAGCTCAGACTCACAGTGATCCTCCTGTCTCAGCCTCCCCAGTGCTGGAATTATAGGCTTGCGCCACTATGCCTGGTTCCAGTGGCCAGCACAGGGTGCCCAGGGTTCTGGGGTGGGCATGGCATGCAGTACTAGGGATCAAACCCAAGTCCTTTGCTAGCAAGGAAGGTGCTTAGACCGTTGAGCTATCTACCCAGCCCAAAAACGTGAACTTTCTACCATTCAAAAAGGTCACTGGAAGGGGCTAGGGAGATGGCTCAGTAGAATAAGTGCTTGCCTGGCAAGCACAAGGGCCTGAGTTTAATCCCTGGTTCCACCAAAAAAACCCAAAAAGGTCACTGGAGATTTTTTCCTGCAGGCTGTAATTTTGCTTACAATTATTTTAAGAAGTAAGCAAAAAGTTTCCAAAGAAATAGCAATTGGAGCCAGGAAGATAGCTCAGTAAAATAAGTGCTTGCCTGGCAAGCACAAGGCCAAGTTCAAACCTTAGTAGCACAAAAAAAGAGAAAGAAACAGCAATTAACAGATGGTAGAACAGCTTGTATTTAATTAAGTGATGTATATGGGATAATATTCCATGAATATTCCTGATCATATCTAACTAGCGCTTACTGAACTATATTATAAAAGCTCTATAAATAATAAAGTACTATCATGTATAAAATGCTTCAACTAGAGTGATCTAACAAATCAAAGTTTCTCAGAAAAATATATTAAATATATAAAAATGTAACGTAAAAACAGCAACACAAAGTACATTTTAAATGATTCTAATGGCTAATCACTTATTTTCTTAAAAGATGCTAAGTTTAAAAGTATAGTTCAAAAGGTTCTCGCTGAATATATGTGAAATGCTATATACTTTTGGTTGTTTTAACACGACTTTCTATTTTCCTAGAAGAGTAACAATATAACAATAAACTTACAGAACCAGCCAAGGCTCCTGAAGTAAAGTTGATCATAAAAGTTGGTTCATATATACCAGATTTCTCACATAGCCACTTCCTTAAAATTTCATAGTTATACCAGTATATTGCTATAAAAAGAGAATAAAAACTGTATATATTTAGAAATAAAATGTGGTATTTAAACAAAGATAAGTCAAAGAAATTCCAACCTTGACACATCATGCTTTCCAGTTAGACTAATAGTCTTACCTTTTTTAAAAAATGTGTTTAGTACAGGATCTACAGGGTCTCACTACATAGATAGGACTCATAGTGATCCTCCTGCTTTCAGCCTCCCAAGCACCAGGATTACAGACACCTGTCACCACACCCAGTCTCAATCCCCATCTCAGCGCAACCCCGAGGTGAGGTCAGCATAGGGATCAAACCCTGGTCCCTGCATCTGCCTAACCGCCTGCAAGCAGGCACAGGGGCCAGGGGTTCAATCCCAGGGCCGGCCATGCCGGCCTCACCCCCAGGGCTCACTGAGATAGCAATTGAGACTGGGTGTGGTGGCACAGGCCTGTAATCACAGCTCTTGGGAGGCTGTAAACAGGTGGATCACTATGAGTCCAATCTAGTAGTGATACCCTGAATACCCTGTAGACCCCTCCCTAAAATACAGGAAAAAAAAATAATAATACAATGCAATATACTACATTAACAAAACCAAAAAATAATCTAATAATGAAAAAAAGCATCTGATAAAGTTCAACACTTCTACTTCAGGCAAACATACTTCTTGACAATTGTTACAGTTTGTCTTTAGTTGTCTACCCAAAGCCTCAGGCAGGCAGCTTCTGAAATTTCTGATTGATTCCTAATCCAACGTTGGGATTATGGGTGTGAGTGCCCTGAGGCTGATCCTCTGCATTACAGTGTAAGGAAGGGAGAGAGGCTAGCTAGCTGCCTGAGCTGCTGCCACTCCCTTTGCTTTCCGCTCTCTGCAACTGCCACTCTCTGCCTTGAAGCCAGATGAGCTTGGACTGAAACCTCCAGAGACTGTGAACCTTTCCTTCCTTCATTTTGGGTATCAGGTATTTGTCCCAGCAAGGAGAGACAAGTAACTGAGACAACAATCTATAGTCTAAAGGGAAACTTCTTAACTTCCTAAAGGGTATGCATCAGAACCCTGGGGCAAGGACAACTATTCTGAAACAACAGTTACTTCTCCTACATTTTGGGAAATGACAGGATGTTTGCTGTTATCCCTATTATTCAAAACCCTGTGAGGCAGGAAAAGAAGGTTTTCGTTTTGTTTTGTACGGAATGGGGATTGAACTCTGCACTTGTCAGGGAAGCACTTACTCTACTGAGCCATCTCCCCGGCCCTGGAAAAGAAGCTTTGATGATTAAAAATTTCTAAAAAGGAACAACTTGCTACTGCAATATATTATTGTTGTAGGTAGCTGAATTAGACAGAAATATTATAAGGCAGTCAGTCAGGGCCAGGCCCTCAAGGAGACAAGATCAAGGTGACTTTACAACTCAGGGAAGAGACAGACACTGCTGTATGGACCACACCTCAAGACCAAGACAAAAGAAGAAACACAGCTAAATACTTCCCTAGGGATGAGCATCAGGGATTGATATTCTAAATAGGTATTAATCACCTTGAAAGAGCCCAAATGAGTCACTAGCCCAACCCCCAACAGGAAGAGACCCTGTCCCATATTCATGCCTTCTTGCTATATTACTCACTTCCCCATTTGGTATTGGATTTAATCAATTTTACCTGAGCAATGGTGCTTGTAATCTCATTGGTTGACCATAGTTTTGTCCCACCTCATGCCCACCTAAGCTGAGTTTCCATGTTCTCCACCACTTTAGACCCACCTCATCACATGGTTTTTCTCTATAAAAGTCCTTGAAAGAGACAGCTTCCCAGAGACCACCTTGCTCGGGGGCCCCCTTCTGTCTCTCTTGGACAGGAACTTTCTTTCCCTCAATAAATACATTCTGCTCATAACCTCCATTTTTTCCTAAAATTCATTATTCGATTTTAGAGAACACGAAACTCATTCCAGGTACCTTTTAGGTCGGGAGATCAGTTTTTCTCTCTGTGTCATTTGGAGGTTTCCCTGTATCATTTTTTATCCACACAAACTCAAAAGATAAAATGAGTTGCATCAACTACAAAGCCTGGACGTGTTGCTCAGTGCCTAAAAATGCATAAAGTTTCAATCTCAACCTCACAAAAATGAACAAATGCTGTGACAGTTGGAGAGTGGGGGATACTTTTAATAGATCTCAAAGTGACATAGGGGAAAACAAAACACCTGACCTGAGAGGTACCTTGTGGTGAGGTGGGTCTAAGGTGTTGAAGAACACGGGAACTCAGCTTAGGTAGGCATGAGGTGGGACAAAACTACGGTCAACCAATGAGATTACAAGCACCACTGCTCAGGTAAAATGATTAAATCCAGGACCAAATGTAGCAAGCGGGCATGAATACAGGACAGGGTCCTTTCCTGCTGGGGGTTGGATCAGTGACTCTTTAGGGCTCTTTCAAGGTGATTAATACCTATTTAAAATATCAATCCCTGATGCCCATGCCTAGGGAAATATGTGGCTGCATTTGTTTACTTTTGTCTTGAGGTGTGGTCCAAAGCTGGAGTGTTTGTTTCTTCCAAAGTTGCAAAGTCACCTTGTCTTCTATGTTGTCTCCTTGAGGGCCTGGCCCTGTCTGCCAGCCTATAATATTTCTATCTAATTCAGCTGCCTACAACAAAAGGAAATGAAGTTAATCTTTTTGAAAAGAAACTGAAATCTCTACCAAAATACTTCAAATATTATTTATTGACATAAACATATGCCATTTCTAGAGAAGAAAAAAATAAAGGTAATATCAAGATTTTTAATAAAGCACTAAGACTTTAGGATAAGGAATTGGCACAGATTTAGACAAATTAACCAATGAAACAGATCTGTGCATATATGCAAATCTGATATAGCAGAGGTGACCCTGCAGATCCTTGTAGCAACTATAGACATTCACTAGATGATGCTGAGACAAAGCTCAGCACATCCAGATGGGGGGGGCAGCGGGGGAGAGCACGGGGAACAAATCTGAAAACCTACGTTAGTTATATCCTCAAAGCAACTATAACTAACTGAATAACAACTGAAACTGTGTCCAATCTTATAACCACTGAGGCATGTAAATTACAGTGAGATATTCCTTGAAATTACCAGAGAAACTTAAGAAATTTAACAATAAGAGACCTGGTAAAGGTATAAATCAGCAGGAAATATATATTGCTGACAGGTGTAGAGATCCACACAATCACCTTAGGAAAGAGTTTGCATCACCTAGTGAAATCAGAAATGCATGCTGGATATGGTACTCATATGATTCAGCAAATCTAATACTAGGCAACTGTTGCACAGATGCACAGAAACTGACTAAAAATATTTACAGCATAGTTATCTGTACATAAATAAGATTAAAAATGAATTAAACGTAGAATGAATCCCAGGAAGAATTGAGTGAAAAGATTTTTTCAAAGTACAAAAACAGGTTAAAACTAAATAATACACAGAAAAACAATTCTTTAAAAAATCAAACAGATGACCAAAAATATTCAGTATGTTGGACACTACTAGGAATGTAAACATAAAAGAGCATTTTTGTGGTGTGGTGATGTTAAAAGCTGTTACACTCAAGCTCACAGACTGAAGTGATGAGTTCAAGGGTGTTCATTTTATTATACTTCATGATTTACACCTATGCCACTTTTTACATACTAAATATATAATTAAGAATAAAACATAATTGGCATAGGAATCTATGATTAACTGCACATTTATGTTTCTTTTTTTTAATGTATTTAGTACAGGTTCTATAGGGTCTCACTACACAGATCAAACTCACAGGGATCCTCCTGTTTTTCAGCCTCCCAAGTGCTGGATTACAGTTGCACCACCTCCCCTTGACTCAATCGTTATCTCACTGTGCACTGGGGGAGGAAAGGGGGCTGGCACTGGCAGCCCAGGATCAAACCCCAGTCTCTGCATCTGCCTAAGCAGCTGCTGTAATCTGCTGAACTATCTGGCTGGCCCTTTTATTTCTTAATAACATAACTGAACACAAGCACCTAAATGATTTACAACAGTCTCACAGGACACTCACTCAATGGGGAGACATTTAGTTTTTATTATTGAAAAAGGAAGGGTACAAATCAAAGGTGGTCTTAAATGGATTTAGAATATGAATGCCCATGAAATTAATGTTTAAAAGGCAATTAAATGCAAACAAACATAAACCAAATCAGACCTTAATTAGAAACCATTCATTCAATAAAGACTGTGACCATTGAATGTCCAAATGATGAACCAAGAATTTGTAGTTACTACAGAAAAAAACTTACCTTTGACCATAAAAGGTTTAAAATCTAACAAAATAGTACATGAATAAGACAAAGCTACATAAAGTTTAGCAGATAATAGTAAGACAAATCCCACCTGAAAAAGGTACATCTCGAAGAACAGTAGGAGCCCAGCCCTTCCAAAGGGAAATCCAGCCATCTTGCGATACTTTCTTGCTGACAAACTGGTGTAGCTCCTTGTAAGAAAACTTCTTAGACTGCATCTTGGTTCTAATCAATTCTAATGGACTTATCACAGTTACTGCACCAACTAGTACAAATAATCAGATGAAAGGAAATAAAGCAAATACATGTACTATTCAAACAAACATGTAATATTTGTATTTTATATTTTATCTTTTATTTGGAAATATCTGTAAACCTTTAAAAAAAAAGGATGTAATCTGTCAACATATTGGTACAAACTTTCCCATTCAAAATATATTCTTTATGTCTGTTTTCATGTATCTTTTTTGGTTTTAGGTCTTTCAAAGGAGGTTCCAGAAATGTTACAGTCAACTAGAACCTTTATAAAAACTCACTTTAGTGAATGCCTAACCAATAAACCAGAGTCCTGTTTCACAGAGAAATATGGTCTTGAGTAGAGAAAAATTCTCTTCTAAACACTAAATCCTAAAGTTTATACTGGAAATTATTAAAGACTTTGGTCTGAATCATGTATAGGCCTGGATGACAGCTTGGAAGTTTCAGTCAATAAGAACCATTTCTGATGTCATTCTAAAACACAAGCCATGGCGGCACATTCCTGTGATCCCAGCACTCTGAAAGCTTGAAGCAGGATAAGCCTAAGTTTGAGCCCAGAGCAGGTAAAGTAGCTACATAGCAAGACTTTGTCAAAACAATAAGAAGAAAAGGCTGCACTTCACTGTAAATTTCTGGATCCAATTCCCTGTACTGCAAAAAAATAAATAAAATAAAATAAAAGCTTTCCACACTATATATGGTAGTACATGTCTGCAATAGCGAGACTTAAGAGGTTGAAGTGCAAGGACATCAAGATTGAGGCTAGCCTGGAAAACACTTGAGTTTAAGGCCATTCTGGACTACATATGATGATCCTGATTTAATAAGTAAATAAAAACTGTCCAAGATTCAATCAAAATGGGCTAATCTCATTTTAAGCTAATAGCAATCAACATGCCAAGTTACTTTCAGAGCAAAAATATTAACAAATTAATATAAATTAGAATGCAAAATATACCTTGATATTACATACATTAAACAAATTCTGTCTGAACATCAATATTTAAACAGATGCCCTAAGTAGAAATCAAAATGAAAATAAAAGTTTATTACTTACACCTGGCCATAATTCCAGCAATAATTGGTATTCTAGTTTCATTTTCTCCTAATTTGGATCTCAGAACAGCAGTTAATTGATCATAGCAGGTAAAATAAATAACAGTGGCAGGAACTGCCATCACTCTGTAGAGACACACAAAGAGATTGCTCACAGTTATCCAAAGGTCTCAAACATACTAGCAAATTAAATTCACTATCATGATAGACACAAAAAAAAATCCTATTGTGTACAGGCTAAAAGCCACAGAAGCCATGAGATAAGTTATTCTTTTTTTTTTTTTTTAAAGTATTAGTAGTTACTAATAAAGAGATGTAAAAAAGTATCTGCCCTCCAAAAGTTTAAATTCTACTTGTGGGCATTTGTTTCAATATAAAGCATCAAATGAATGCAATGTGAGTTATAATATGTAACATTAAAAAGTGCTATCTAATCAAACTCCTATCACATGAATCGTACACTCTCAGGTGATAAACACACACTCACTCACACACATACACACATTAGGACACTTATCCATCTCCTTCCCTTTTCAATCTAATGAGCAACTAACTGTAAGACATTTTAAAATTATATATCACATATCAAGCTGGCTTATAATTGGAAATAAAGTACAATTAATATTGCCAGAATTGTACACTAGCTTTGAGGGGATTCGAATAAAATATTCTCTCAGATGAAAACATCAAAAGAGGTTATTAAGTAAATGTATATACAAAACTACACACATTGTCATTTCAGCAATATCAATGCAATAAGAAGGCAGTTTATGTTTCTGGTCCAACTATAGGGTATTCACAGATCACAGTTTGAAATGCTTAATAATTCTATAGTGAAGGCTGATAGAGTATTTATGAGTAGAAATGAATGCAGTGAAAGACAAATGGTAGTCCTGGATATTCACTAACTTAAAATTTTTTTGGCATTAACGCATATGCCTCAAAATTGATTAATTGCCTAATATAAATGACATATAAAAGACGAAACAAATGCTGAAAAATAAACAAGGCAACAGAGCCAAGGTATTACTTGGAATTTTTACATTCAGTCTTACTTATATTAATTCACATAATTGTTAGTAAAGAGAATTACCTGGAAAAGTAAATTTATAAACATAATATTCATACTGTTTTAGTAAAATAAAAAGTCAAATGAACACCAGGTTCTTTACTTCTAAACATGGAAAACTATTATTTTTATGTAGCAAAGACTTAATACAGTAAGCCTGTTTACTTAAATCTTCCATGATATCTTCAGGAGGGCCTGTTGGGTGCTGACCTTCAGCCTGGAATTTAGTCAAGGGTCTTTCCCCATTGGTAATGCCTTTGTATATCTAAAGCACTAAACCAAGTAGTCTAGGTTGCCTTGTGCAGGCAAGGTGATTTATGGAAGCACTTACTTTCCTTTTTGAGGTCTGATGTTTGGCTAATTATAGCTGGTTAAATAGGGAAACTCAAAGTTTCCCAAGGTAGAAACATTTTGCTCCTTCACAGTGAGTTGCAGAAAAAATAAGCACATCCAGTGCAAGCCACGAAGGACTTTGGAAGTCCTTAATTAGTCAACTCCTGATATGTGTTTTTCCCCTACCAACGCTTTGTATCATTCAGCTGCAATAAACCATATTTAGGGGCATAACACTCCTTCGGTCTGTGAGTCCTAGCACATCATCAAATGTGTGGGTAGCTGTGAGACTCACAAAACAATGCTTCAGAATATCAAAGAGGTCTAATCTTACAATGCATGACTTTCTCTAATCATGCTCACTCTAATACAAAACAAGCATCACTTAGCAGAAAAAAAGTTTTAAATTTCAACTTACAGAGTAGGAGGAAGGCCACTCCACAGGGACTTAATGCCCTCATTTCGAGTGATTTTTAAAAAGGCATCCTAAAATTATTATAGAAAAAAGTAGTCAAAATACAGCCCTGAACCTGATATATATAAAAATTTAGAGTGATAAATGATTGGTAATTTGCTTCTTTCAAGCATTTATTTCTAAAATATGAGCTTCTTGGATTTATGTATGTCCATTCTTTCAAAAAAACAAGAATTTTAACATGAGTAAAATGAAGCATTTATGAACAACACTTCTTACAGAATAAAGATTACATAGGGCTTAAAAACAAACTTTTGAAAGATAATTGCAGAAAAGGCAATAGAATAGTGACAAAGAACTGATCAGATAAAACTCCTAATGAAGTATAAGTTCTAAAAAAATAAAGAGCCCACTTTGTGAAATTCTGAAGAATCGAACAGGCAGAAGCTTGAGTCTATTGCAAATGGACAAACTCTTACAAGTTAATAATACACTTAACATTGCGTAAGGATTAGAATAAGCACTCCTCAAAAAAAAAAAAAAAAAAAAAAAAAAAAAAAGAAAGACAGTAAGCATATAAAAAATTGTTAACACATTGATCCTTATGGAACTGCAAAGCCACAGTAAGTTACCACATCATACTGAAAAGGTAGGCCAAATTTTAAAAGAAAGATAAGATAGGCACAAGGGTATATGCCTATAATCCCAGCCTCTTGGGAGAATAAGACAGAAGGATACTGTGTTCAAGGACAGCTTGGGGAAGATAGCAAGATCTTATCGCAAAAGAAAGGGATGGGAATGGACAAAAGAGGACAGAATGACAAGTGGTACTGAGCATGTGGAGAAATAGAAGCCTGCATATATTAACAGTGAAAATGTAAAATGGTGTGTAGCCACTTTGGAAAACAGCTTAGCAGTTCCTAAAATGGCTAAATATAGAGGTGCCATATGATTCAACAATTTCAATTCTAGACATATACACGTATGTTTACACAAATATTTCAACATTCTTAGCAGCACTATTTATTCCCAAAAGTAGAAATAACCCTAATGTCCATCAACTGATGAACGGAAAGTAAAATATAGTTTATTTATAAAATTGAACATTAGTACAGAAACAAAATATGGATATATGCCACAATATTTATGAGTATAAAAACACTGTAGCAAGAAGCCACTCACAAATGACTGCATATTTTCCCAGGAAAGAAGAAACTTAGTAAGATAGAAAACTGTTAAGATAGTGTTCTATTCTAGCCAAATATCACAGAAATGTAATACCACCCAGAGCCACACCAACAAAGATCCAATAGGTAGCTCAGAGTTCTACCTTTGTAAGACTACAGTAAAATACAGTAGCACCTCCATTTGGGTGGTCTCACTGAAGGTCAATAGGAAGCTGAAACTTTTATCTCCACTTAATCAGTAATAAATTCTCTCCCTGCCCCATGAGTAAAGGAATAGTGAAAAGTTACAACTTCCGTTATCACCCAGTGGTAATGAGGCCACTCCACTACAAATCAATGGAAGCTATGTGAAAAGCCAAATGCCTGCCCATGTGCAACAGTAAACTGTGCCAGTGGAGGCTGTGGGAAAGCTAGACCTCTAACTCTGCCCAGGAGTAACAAGGTACAGCCCTCCTATTCCTCAGGGGGAGGCAGTATCAGACAGCCAGTTTAATAAAATATCTCAATGCATTTAGAATTTAATCATAGACACTCAAAATGTCCATTTTTTAAATGAACTGAGTTTACTGGTATTTTTAGCTATATATAATGACCACATTCATAAGGAAGCTATACATGTACATGATTCCTTTCCTCTACCTTCAAAACTTCTTCCCTTCCTTATTTACAAAAGCTGTTTCTATTTTGTACTTCTTTTCTCATTTTCTAACTGTCTTCCTTTCCCTTTTCCCCCCTCCCCCCCAGTTTCCCTTCCCATTTGAATGTTTTCTTCCTGTTTCACAGTATCTACCATACATGTTTGTCCTTATTTACACTTTCAGTTTCTCACAACAGAAAAACAATGCAATATTGTATATCCAATTTATTTCACTTAGGAGTATGGTCTCAATGTGCACCCATTTAACTAGAAATGTCTCCAGGTTATCCTTCTTTATGACTTAGTGTCGGCCCCACCCTCCAGGCATGTTGAGACAGAAACTGAGACTGGGCCTGGTGGCAGTGCCTGTAATCCCAGCACTTGGGAGGCTGTAAACAGCCACATCACTACAAGTCGGATCTAATAGTGAGACCTTGAACACCCTGTAGACCCTTCCCTAAAATACAAAAAAAAAAGGGGGAGTGGGTTATATAGAATAATCTACATTGATTTCCATGGGAAATCATATTTTTCTCAGCACAGTGGGATATCATTTCTTCCTAATTCAATATATAAACAATGTAATTCCTATAAAAATGTTGGCAAGATTCTGTGTGTGTGTATGTATATATATATATATCCAGAAAATGAGAAAAAAAATGAAGAACCATTTTATTGAAAAAAATATGATGGCAGATAAGCACATGTGATGTTCAATATAATTAGTCACTACAGAAATGCAAATGAAAAGTATACGCAGACATTAGTATACGTTATCAGTCAGCTTTCCAGTTGCTGGCACACAATATTCAACACTTAAAGGAAAGCTTTGATTTGGCTCAGTATCAGGGACCTGGTCACCAGGCTCTAAGGCAGAAACATCATGGCACAAGGTATGACACCTCCACTATCCACCTAGACACATCCAGAGTGTGCTCTGCTAATTCCCCAGACAATTCTTTTTTTTTTTTTTTTGGCAGAAGCAGGGATTGAACTCAGGCCCTTGCACTTGCCAGGGAAACACTCATTCCACTGAGCCATCTTCCCACCACCCCCCAGACAGTTCCTAACCAATCGAGTTGAATGCTTAATCATCACACTATGCAGTTATCACAACTGCTAAATGTGACAACACAAAATGCTAATGAACAACCATTGTTGAATTCCTATCACTTTATTTAGTGAAATTTTGTATTATATCTAATATGTCTTTTATTACTATTTTGTATGCTTTAAAGAATAAAATGCTGGAAAACTAGAACCCTTGCACACTGCTGATGCAAATATAAAACAGTAGAGCCACTTTAGAAAACAGGTTGACACCCCAACAACTAGGTGCTGGACCCTGGCAATACATTGAGAGTGCAGGCCCTGTTGGGGAAGGCAGACTATAGCCATATGGAAGGTAAAATGTGGGGTTTTCTACTAACTTTCCATCTGAGGATTTTTATACTGACTTTTTTTTTTTTTCCAGAACTGGGGATTGAACTCAGGTCCTTGCACTTGCCAGGGAAGTACTTTTCATTGAGCCATCTCCCCAGCCCCTGAATATTTTTAAATATGCTTTAAGAGCAAAAAATTATAAGTGTATTCTAGTTGCAAATATGCACACATTTTGAATTGCTTTATTTTTATTGTGTAAAACTGTTGACACGACTATGGTGCACAAATTCTTTACATGGAAGGAGTCCACGCATTTTACAGGAACTTATTTTATGACTGGGTAATGATACAGTTGTACATTCAACTGCCATTATTTTTATTAAGTGCTTTGATTTTCTATACAGTTATTATAAAGTTGTATTTACTTTATAAAGATGGATTTTCATTATCCTGATACTGTAATATGTACTTCAGCTTGCTGATCTTTCTCTGTGCATCTGCATGTTGTAATGTGTGATAAGAATGAATGTAAAGGCTGTGGCAACTGTAATTGATATCTGTAAAGGTCTGGTCACAATGGATCTGGTTCACAAATGTGTTTGGGATGATTTTAGGAACCAGATCCCCCTTTCAGAAATTGAGATATGAACCAAAAGCAAAACATAGATAGCTGGTTCTATTTTTTTTAACCTAAAGAAAATAAAGTTGATTTAAAAAGAAACTAAAAGAAAAGAGACTGACAGTTTAAATTCTCAAGAGACAACTACCATGTACAATCAGAAAATATTTGTACATGTATCAGAAAGAACAAAGACTTACTTTCAGACGGACAGACAGACAGACACACACACACACACTATAAATAAATATTTGCAACAGCTTTATTCGTAACAGCTAAAAACTGGAAACACCCCTGAAAACAAAGTGGAATACTACTGAGAAATAAACAGAAACCAATGACTTAAACATACAATAACCTAGAATAACCTCCAGATAATATGCTAAGTGACACACGCCAAACCATAAAGGCTATGTATGAGTCCATTTATGCAAGGTTCAAAATGACAAAAATATTTAACTTTTTAAGGAATTCACTAGTACACATTAGTAATATATGCAGTTTACAATCATCTTGGGAGTACATGTACATAATATAGCTTGTTTTTTTCTAAAATCCTCTGCCCTTCCCCTTCCTCTGATTTCTCTATCCAAATTTTCATTCTTGTTATTACTAATCTTAGCTCATGTTACAGCACATGTTTACATTCACTGAGGTTATTAGGTTCCTGTACATGGCTTATCTTCATTTACTTATCTCCTCTTCCCCTCTTCCTCAACCCTTAACCTTGTTCCTTAGACCACTTCACTACTGCATGAGATCCATTGTCTTATCCCCTTCTATCCTTTATTATTCTCTTTGCTTGTGCTTTGTCCCACTCAAATGCGAGACAGTACAAGGTATTTAAGCTTGTGTGTCTGGTTTCCTTCACTCAACATTATATTTTTCAGATGCATTCCATTTTCCTGCAAATGTCTCAAATTTGTCAAAATGAAGTCTTATAAAAATTGGGAACAGATGAGTAGCTGCCAGGGAAAGGTGTGAGAGTACAAGAAAACTGATGTTATTCTACAAGAGAAATAGGAAAAATCCTTATAATGACAAACTATTCTTTATTTTCATTGTATCAATGTCCATATCCTAGTTGTGACATTTAAAAATTTTTAAAGATTTTTTGTTTTTATTGGTCTTTTTGAGATAGAGTCTCGCTATGTAGTTCAAGATGGCCTTGAGCTCACTTTGTTGCCCAGGTTGGTCTTTAACTCCCAATGATCCTCCTGCCTCAGCCTCCAAAGGGTTGGAATTACAGAAGTGTGTCACAAGCCCAGTTTAAAGATTTTATTACCACTGTGGAAACTGAGAAGAGAGTACATCAGACCTGTCAGTACACTTTTCCTTAAAATTACACATGACCTACAATTATCTCAAAATTTAATTTCAAAAGAAAGCTACCAGTTCTTTTTTTCTACATAAAACCTTGAACTGATGGAAGCTAAAAGAGATTAAAATCAATGAAATACTTCTCTATTCCTGCCTTAACACAAAGCACTTCCTAGAATTAGAAAGTCTTTCATATTCAAATTAGAAAACATACCATAACTATAAATAAATAATGTAATATATAATCTTACCAGTGTTCCGTGGAAGTTTCCTGGCTTCTTATACCATGCTTTGTTGCCCGCCTCTTCACAGACACACATATGATCCATGAGTCCATTATTATACACAAAACATTTTCCTAACAAAGATGATTCCAATAGTCAATAATTATTTCTCATAATTGTTATGGTTACAGACAAACTGAAAGTACCAGGAAACTAGAAAATCATGAAAGAAAAATAACTTTTAAAAAGAAAAATAACCGTTGTCTACTTTCTAAGATGAAGCACACATAATTCAATTTTCTTAATGATACACATTAGATTGTACATTCATACATGTGAAACAGAGTTAGATCTTATGTTTTCAGAACCATAGCAAGAAAATAGACACAGAAATAAATTCTTTTTTGTCTTTCACTTCTATTTTTATTTATCTTTAGATTTTTTTATTGGTACATGTTTGTAGCGCATAATGACTGCTTCTTGGCCTTTTGGCTGAGACCAAGTAGTACATAATGACTATATTCATTGTGGTAGAGTCAGTACACATACATGACAGCTCTTAATTCTTTTTTTAACCCCTGCCCTTTTCTTCCTCCTGCTCACTCCATTTCTTAGACTCCTTCTCCAAAATAGATATATACACACATATATACCTATACTTTCTTTTTTTTTTTCTTTTCTTTTTTTTTTTTTTTATACCTATACTTTCAAACAATGTTCGTACTATATGTTGACTATGTTCCTCATAAGGACTTGGGGAAAGTACACAACACTTTGCAATCTCTCCTTTTTTATTTATTTATTTACTTATTTTTTTGGCGGAACTGGGGATTGAACTCAGACCCTGTGCTTGCTAAGGAAGCACTTATTCCACGGAGCCATCTCCCGGGCCCCTATCTCTCCCTTTTTAAATTCCACTTCTCTCCCCTACTCCTCTACATCTCTTGGTTCCCATCCCACAGAAATTAATTCCTTTAAGTTATCTTATGGGATAAAGAAGTATAACAGAAGCCCCTATTTTGGAAAGAGAACACAGGTGCATGTCATTATATATATTTGCTCAGGAAAATATTCTGTAGTACACAAGAGAAATTCAGGAAAAAAAATATAATAAACAGTAAGCTTTCTTCTTAATGGAAACAATGCATGCTTTGTCCTTTTAATCAGTTTTTACCCTGCTCAAGCAAGTTGTCTGTCAGCTCCTACCTAGCATAGTACAACTATCCCTAATTCTAATTCTTACTTTTGCTTGTTTCTGCTTTTGAGACAAAGTATACCAAGTAAGTTAGGCTGGCCTTGAACTCCCTGAAATATCTGCCCCCACACCCAGCCAATAACTCTCTTACTGGACTTGCTCTTGCTGCCAAAACTGTCTGCTCTATCAAGTTTTATAAAAAATAATCCCTTTTAAAATGTTTTAAACTATTTATTTACTTACTTATTTGATACAGGGTCTTGCTACAAAGCTCAGACTCATAGTGATCCTCCTGTCGCAGCCTCTCCAACACTGGGATTACAGGTATGTGCCACTAGGCCCAGTTTCGGTGGCCAGCATGGCGTGCCCAGGGTCCAGGGACCGGCACAGCATGCAGTACTGGGGCTCGAACTCAGGTCCTTCTTGCCAGGCAGGTGCTTAGACAGCCAAGCTATCTCCCCGGGCTATCAAAAATAATCCTCTGCATCTCTTTCTGCTTTATGGTATTAATGACCTTTTAGACTCTTACACTCCATGCATCCCTTTTTATTCATCTGCAATACAGAAATTGTTCTCATTCCCTCTTAGTGCTATGCATTCAATATGAAAGCATTTCCATTTAAGCCTATTTTCTGTGTTAGGTTTCTGCTATATAAATACATTTGAAATGCCACTATATATATATATATATATATATATATATATATATTTTTTAATACCACTATTTTTATAAAAAGTTTAAAAGACTGCTTGTGGAACTGTAATTTTCACCCATCTTTCAAAAATATATAAGTACTTGGCAGGTGTGGCAATCTTTAATCGCAATACTCAGGAAGCTGAGCCCCAGAGATTTCAGTGAGTATGAGGCCAGCCTGGCTACACAGTGAGTTCTAGGCCATCCTGTATTACATAGCAAAATCCTGCGTCCAAAACATTCCTCCACAATACATACACATACACACCACACACACACACACACACACACACACACAGAAAATTACTTGCCTTACATTCTACATAAACCAATTTGATTTAACCAAATTGCTTAACAAAATATTGAATTTCCAATCACTGGATTTAAGCAACAGCTGAACAGTTGTCATGAACGTTTCAGAATAAAAATAACTCTTGGACAAAGGAGGAAGTTAGAGTCCAAGGACCCTTATAACTATATTCTTCACAGAAATAAAACCAAGCGAGGTATCTCTTGTCTGTCCCAGACCATAAGGAAGTGGAAATAAAGCCTTCTTGAGGTGGTGGAAAAAAAAGAAAAAAAGAAATAAAAGCAAAAGTATAATAATTCTCTGCATTAATTGTACAGCCACAAAACACTATACATGTTATATATAAATCTTTCTTCTACCTATACCTAATCATATACAAGAATGAAAAATATAGGGCTGGGGAGATGGCTCAGTGGAATAAGTGCTTCCCTGGCAAGCGCAAGGGCCTGAGTTCTATCCCCGGTTCCAAAAAAAAAAAAAAAAAAAGAATGAAAAATATTTCTGCATGAGGTATCAAAATAAAAACATTGTTTGAATAAAAATGAATACAGTGAGGCCAGGGAGATAGCTCTGTTAAATAAGCACTTGCCTGGCAAGTGCAAGGGCCTGAGTTCAATCCCCAGTTCTGAAAAAAAGAAACATGAATACAGTAACATTTAAAAATCTAAGAAAAGATTTTCAAGATACCTAACACACATACCTTCAGGAAATGGATTGTTCTGGGCTTGGAGACGAATTTTAACTACATCCAGGGGTGTCACTATGAAGATACATAAGTTTCAATTAGTTTAAATTAATTTCAACTATAAATTGTATATTTTTAAAAACCACAAAATTTATTGATTCATACTTGTCCTCATGGCTCTACAACTGTATGGCTATTTATCATAAAGTAGTCTTGATAGGTAGTTTTGATATTTTGCCCTTAAATTTTATTAACAGAGGATCAGTAAAGACAGGCTAGGGGCCGGGGAGTTGGCTCAGTGGAATAAGCACTTCCCTGGCAAGCGCAAGGGCCTGAGTTCAATCCCCGGTTCCGCAAAAAAAAAAAAAAAAAAGACAGGCTATAATTACTTCTCTCACAATTACTAATCTGCCATTCCTAATGCATCTATAGCTATGAATCCAATACCCTTAAAATAGTGCTTCTAAGAAAATACATTGCTAAAGATAAGGAACTGAAGTTCCAAAAGTCTATTTAAACATTTGAGGATAATACAGCATTACAAATAATAATAAATGATGTTAGTCTTCCTAATATGTTAAATTTACCTGCAACAAATAATAGCTATAGGAAATGAAAACTTGAGTAAACTAGACATAAGTTATCTTTAGCATTAGAAGGTATCATTCTATTTGGGAAGAGCAAACAAAGACGAACTATTTTAATTTGCATCTAAGCAACAAAAAAAGGAAAGGAGTTCCAAGAAAACTACTCTTCATCTAAGAATAAGGACTATTCATCTGCATATCTAAAGATTTTGCAATCCTAAATTTCTTACATGAAGACACACCACAAAGCTATTACTTTATTATCTTATTTAAATAATTCAATTTAAAATCATTAAGAATGCTAACCTATCATCTATGTCATTTGGCTACAAGAAACTCACTATAATACACAGCAAATTGTGATCCAGAGAAATGTAAGATTTGTACTGCTCATGCAATGAAAGTAAATTTGACTTTTATTGCTTTTATTGTTCAAATTGTTTCATTCAATATGTTAATATTCTATCTCATTGCTATTTTAAAAGAGAACAGAATTACAAAATAGCCTAATGCTGACAGCAACTTCCAATATCCCTTGTTCTAAGTCTCCAATTTTAGATGAAAAGGTTGAAGTTAAAAAGTAAGTACTGTCCTCAAGTGTATTCATCAGTAGACTGGCAAAGACTAAAATTCAAGATTCTTGATTTTTTGTGTCAAGGGTTTCATCCATATTATCACACTGATGAAGGAACAGATCAGTACATCATGATGAATAATAACATTATTTCAAATGTAATAAAACTCAAATGAAATCATGGATTCATTCAAAGTTACAAAATCTACATCATCAAACAGTTTTACCCATTAGCGAAGTCAATACGGCTCCAGTACAAGAGGCAGCCATTTGCTGAAGAGGTGTCACTTTGACAATGGGAGGGCCCTCTGACTCAGGATCCATATTTTTAACTAACTGAATAAAAGCCTGTTAAACAAAAGTAAGTTTTTAAAAAGCTTAATAGCAACTGCCTTCAAAACTGAACAACAATTAGAATTTATATCAAAGGACCCACTATCAAAATTGAATTCCTAAGCTCTGCAGACAGAGGAACCATATAACAATCATTAACTAAACACATCATCTGATATTCCAGGGAAGCGCTTATTCCACTGAGCTATCTCCCCAGTCCCCAATCATCTGATATTCCAAAGGTAGCAACGGACTTCAGCTAGGCTACATAGGTAGCAACACATCTATAAGAAAGAGTTAAGGAAACAGACTCTGATCATGTGACAGAATCCAAGTAGCTGACCAGTAAGTCACAGCATCTATAAATTCAGCCTCATGACACTATTGAAATACCTTCTGTAATACTAGTACAGAGTACCATTAAATATAGCAGTATAGTAATTGAATGCCAAAAGTTGTTTCACAAGTATAAAATAAAAACACAAGAAACCAAAAGCAGTATTTCACAAAAATTTGATGAAGAAAGCTATATGTCATTTTTAAGTCAGAAAATACTGAAAGTATAAAAATTACTTATATTGTAAACTCACTAATCTAAAAATGGTCACTGGCAAGGGTATTGCCTTTCCAAATGTCTATGTACACACATGTGTATAAGTGTGTATATGATTGCAGAGTGTACCTAACTATAAACACATTCATGTACCTGTGCATATGCCCCTTTTTTTGCAAAACAGAGCTTTAATCATTCATGCTTGTTTAGTAGCTTGATTTGATACTTATGAATATACAGTACAGACATTACACCAATATATATCATTTTTAATCTCTGCACAAGGTTTAATTATATTTGTATTTAAATAGTATCAATTTTTAAATAAGTTATTGTTAATTTTTCAAGTATAAAACATTCTGATATAATATCCTTATCCCTATTTTTCTATATCTTTCTATAATTACTTTGAGAAATTAAAAAATGATGGCCTAAACTATTTGAAAACTTGATAAAAATTGCCAAAACCTTTCCAGAAAATCTAGATTAATTTATATTTCCACTGTCAATAAATGAGTTCCTACTGATCCACATATTTACCAAACTCTTCCCATTTCCTACCTCTGAGCTCTAAAAAGTAAACTGCACATATCATGCTCCTTCACACTAAATACTTCAGTATATTTTCTTATATAACCACAACACAATTAGCAAATTCAGCATAGTTAATTTTGATATAATACAGTTTATATTCAATTTTTTCAGTTATATTAAAAATGTCCTTTATAAAAACAAACTAATTCTATCATTCTTCAGGTTTTCATTACCTACTTACGTAGTTTATGCCTTTTCCTCAATTCTATGCTCCAATATTTTAGTGTTTGTAACATCAGTAGCTGAAATCCTATAATGAAAAAAATAAAAGTAATTGCCTCATCTTTTCACTTAGGAAAGGAATAAATCTAAAAGTTTACATAAAAACTTTAACTTCCAATTCAAAGGATATTCAGAGTACAGAGTAATAGGCAATGAATGACATAAAAAAGAAGATACTGTAGTATTCTACTCTACAGGCCTGTTGCCTTGGTTTCTTCAATTCGAAGAATTGAAAGTTAATAGGGGGAAATGAAAGTTAATTGAAGAAAGAGAATTTTTCTAGATTAAAGGTATCTGAAGAGAATCAATGACCAAAAGCATCTTGGTTTAATCACACAAATTTTTTAAATATTTTTATTGAGAAACAAATATCAATGAGACAATTTCAAAGCTGATAAATAGCACAGTTTCAATAATTGATACCTTGTACATTGTTATCTTCTTAGTGGTTATCCATGGTACAAGAAGCAGACAGGATATCCTGTCCAAATACTATTAGTAAACATCTTTTTTCTCATTGAATTAAGCGAAAGTAGCTGTATATCTATACTAACTATTCTGTATATACAAATACAAAAAGGTCCTTCTTTTGTATCCTTTTTCTTGTTTAGTCTTGTCAGAGATGGGTATTCTATTGGCATCTAAATATTATAGGTGCTTGAATTCAGCAAAACAATCCAACACAGTCCAGCAGTCCACAATAGTAATGGGTTGTCCACAGAAGTTGTTGATTTGAGCCTTTTACAGCTCAGCATATTAATATGGCTTTACTTTATACACCTTGTTTTTATACTTTTCTGCTGGATGGTTAAGACCAAGATAAAGCAAGACCTATATAACAAGAAATGTAAGTTTTGTATCTGATAAGGTCAGTCAAGTCCTCTCAAGATTTATCCTGTAACCCTGTACTGCACTTTGTAGATCCTTTGTCATTGTCAGCCATGTGGATGAGTCACGGCCATTGCTTGACCAATTTGCTCTCTGTGAAAGCCTGAGAGAAAGTTTTCTCTCCATGTGACTCTCCTTAGGCACATTATACATCATCGATCATATTCCTCTGTGGCTCCATAATCTCCTTGATCAGAAAATTTGGGCACAACTGAGTTACATGGAAACACATATTTTTAAAACTTGTACCTAGACCAATCTGAATATCAGGTGGTATCAGTTTAATATTAACATTATTAGGGGTTTTTTGTTTGTTTTGTGTTTTGTTTTTCTGGCTGGCTCAGCATGCCTTCAGGGTGAGTCTGGTAAGGCAGGTGGAGGTGGGGTCTGAAACAACCAGGGTATTCTGTGCCTGACTGCATTTGCATGAGCAGGCACTTAAACAACTGAGCTAACCGGCAGGCCCCCAACAATATTGTTTTTAGTTTTGTGGAGATAATGCTAACATCATGGTTATGTAGAAAGTATTTTTAAAGAAAGAATAATTTTTAAGTGTTAAGGGTTGAAATGTTATGATAGCTGCAGTTCACAATATTTCAAAAAGAAACTAAAAAGTTATTTGGTATATCTAGGTGATAAATACATCGTAAGTATATCATTATTGTATATTTTCTTATATTTACAAAAGCTTGCACAATAAAAAATTTCTCAACTCCTGAAATGTTTATGGATTCAAGTTTAGGAATAATCTTCTAATATTCATCTATATGAACACAGTTCATTCAAGTAGGAAAATAGGCATACACTAGCACACAGCTGTACTTCCCAACAGTGTTTTGCGTTGACACTCATCCCAGGAAAGCTACAACCTAAATCTTTCAATCTGAAACTGAAGCAAAAAAGCCTGATTCTCAGAATTATCTGAAATGTAAGGTAAATAAACCAGAAATACAGATGAAATTTCTTTTTTTCTTTTTGTATTTTTGGGAAGGGTATACAGGGTGTTCAGGGTCCCACTACTAGATCAGACACGTAGTGATTCTCCTACTTACAGCCTCTCAAAAGCTGGGATTACAGGCATGAGCCACCATGCTCAGTCTCACCTGGCGCCTGCGCGTACTTGCAGGTGCTTTAATTTGCTAAGCTATCTGGCCGGCCCTCAAAACTCTTAATGTTTCCCAATGGAAAGTGTGAAGCTATTTCATTGTAGCTGTGATTTATCATCCCCAGATCTATACTGATGCTGAGTATTTCTTCACATTCTCATTTGCAATATACATTTCCTCTTCTGCTCTATTTCCAAACATTGTATACCTTTTGCTTATAATTTCTAGTTAGTACAGAACTGACAAAGGAGCTTGCACTTGCAAATTACAGGACTGTTTTCCTGCAAGAAGAAATGGAATCCAATCAGAAGGGTCCTAAGCAAAACAGAACTGAAGAAGGGCAAGCAGAAGCTAAAGCAAAAAAGCATTTCAAGGAGAAGACACAATTGTGATTTGATGTGGAAAAAGAACTGGAGATCCAGAGTAGCAAGAGACAAGAATTAGCTAAGAAGGTGCTGGAGAAGTCTGTGAGAAGCAAGAGGGGTCTGCGTCTCTGAGGAAGCAACTGAAGATCTGAGCTCTGAAGCATGGACTTGCACTTAGGCTGTAGAGTTCAGACTTTGTTTTGTTTTTGAGACAGGGTCTCTCTATGTGGTTAAAATAACCAGCAGCATGCCAGGGAGGGTTCCCTGAAGCCAGAACTCAAGGCAAATGGCAAACACAAAGAACCTGGAGAAAGCCACAGGTTGCAGTCTTACCCTAAGCAGGAACAAGATCAGTTGCTGCTCTGAGAAGCCATAGGGGTATCAGCTGTACCAGGAATATGGCAGCCTGACAAACAAATACAAGAATTGCTGGAGAACTCTCTATAATGCCTGTTCAACAAACTAACTGCCTCTTCCTTCAAGCCTAAGTGTGCAGTTCCTATCACAAACTGCTGATGAACCAGCCCACCATGAGACTAGAGGCCACGACCAGGACCAGAACATCCATGCAAGGCCCTGATGTTGGGACCCTGTAACACCCAGTCCTTAGAATCAACTAAAGAGTTCATAAGAACAATTTAAGTAAACCATGTTCAGAAAAAAAGGCAGTGTTTGTGGTGCTGGAAATCTGTTCATTTTCCCTAATGACTGTATAAATAAAAATTATTCAGTTGACCCTTTTTTACATCAAAACTAACCCCACCTGAAGGGTTTATTTTACAGCATATCTTGGAAAGGCTATTTATTTTTAAGAATAGTGATCATAATACTGGGGTTGATGTAATATGAGAGAGTCCAAGCAGATAAGAATAAAAAGAAAGGGCTGGAGATGGAGCTCAGTGGCAAAGCGCTTATGTAGCATACAGAAGACCTTGGATATTGTCCTTCAACACCACAGACGGAGGGGTTAAAAAAAAAACAAAAGGATCACGTCCCTCTATTGCATTTCAAGTGGGAAAAGATAAAAAAGAAATGAGATAAAAATGACAGATGCTGCCTATTTTCTAAGGTGCTGGTAGATATACACATCAGTTCCTCTTCACTCTTACTGACCGCCTCTTTTTTAAGTACCTCTACCAAACTGAACCCAAACTCAGGGAAAAAATAATGTACATATGAATGTACTTAAAATACTCTAATTTCAGAACCAACCAGAATTTTCTAATCTTGGCCTGTGTTTTTATCTGCAGACCAAGAAAGAGTATTTGCCATTTTTCTGCTTTGTGGCTTCAAAAGAATCTGCCCTTTCCAGAACCCCCTATTATAAAACAAACCATCAATAGCTCTTCCCAAGTCATGATGGAGTTTTACGCATAACATTTTTCTTTTACAAAGAGAAGTGTTGGTTAAATCAAAGTTAGGAATGAACAAGTTTAACTTGTTAATGGTTGAGAGCAGCTCATTATTAACTTGTTCCTTGAATAAGAAATTCGTTATTTTAAACCAAGGAATTGGAAATGTAAAAAGGATTGTTGGAAAAGACAAATATTCAAAAGTTCTCTAAGTAAGACATTCTATGGGAAAAGAAGAAAGTATACTCAACCAGGGAACTAAAGTGTTGCTATATGCTATTTTAATTATGTTACAAGTGTCCAGGTTGCTTGTATCAAATTAATACCTAAGAAGATATAATTTTAATAAAAGTATTCCAACAGAAAAAAAGATACAATTTTATAACTAGTTCAGAACTCTGGGATAGCTATATTCTGGATGCTATTTAGTACTATTCGTCTCCTAAAATGGGTTAAAGCCTGAGAAAAACTTTGTTGTTCCATAAATCTGGACTGTTACTTGGTGAAGCTGAAGTTTAAAAGTACTAAGGACTAAAAAAATTAATAATTCTGGAATAAAATTAAAAAAGAATAAGAAAATATGAGTCTAGAGCATCATACAGTGCTAAAAAATAGACTTTAAAAGACTGACTATATGGTGGTAAGAAAATTTGAAGAGCAAAGATGCCAAAGGAAAAGTGCTGCCAGCTGGCACAGTGGTTACACTGTGGCAAAGAATTCTGAGACTTTAAGGGCTGTTGAATTTAAAGGTGATTAGTTTACACATGGGAGGAAGTTCTAAAAGAGAAAATCAGTGCCGTGAGTTTAGGCAAATTTACAGTGAAAATAAGGAGCAAAGGGGCAGAATACAAAGACGCCAAATTTGTACAGCTTATCCAGGAAAGGAGCACACCTAAGGTTTTGGCCAAGGAGGGTACACTAACAAGCCTAATGCTTTAAGCTGGGATGAGAAAGATTCCTTGAGGATATCCCAGGAGAACTAGGCCAGAGAAAGGATAGAATGATCTAAGTGGAGCACACTGGGCAATTCTGGTGTAGGATCAGAAAGCCAGAATGCTGATGGGAATGTGAGTAAAGGCTACCTAAGTGTGGTTTCAGATGGAAATGAGGATTCTACTAGAAACTAGACTACAGGGCAAGATTAGTCTACTACAATTTGACTAGAGTCAAAATCCCCAACATAGTAGAGTTAAAGGCATAAAAATTAAATTTGCTTCAAAGGCTTTCTTTTGTTTGAGAAGATAGCCATGTAATCCTCTGCTTCTCCAGTAACAAAAACTGGGAAGGCACTGAGAGGCCACTGTAACCATGTTTCAA